AAATGTAACCTTTTTGACTTCGCAAGCGACGACTTCATGTGTTTCCCCCTCAAGTTTTACTCGAGCATATGCCACTTTGCTAAATTAAAATTAGTATTTATTCAGATAACTATATTTTTTACACGTTTTGCTTTTTATTCAATTCTTTTCTAACTTTTTATATTTTTGACTTTTTCTACTACTACTACTACTAATAATAATAATAATAATAATTATTATTATTATTATTGTATATTTTTATATATATTATTATATATTATTATTAGATATTTTTAGATATTCCACAATATTTTTGTCACAATTGGTTTATATTTTTCTGGCTATTATTATTATTATTATTATTATTATTATTATTATTATTATTTATATATTTCAGAATATTTTTGTCATGTTTTTTATATATATTTTTCTGATCTTTTTGCCTATTATTAATAATAATGAAAATAATAATATTTATATATTTCAGAATATTTTTTCACAATTGTTTTATATTTTTTGGGCCTTTTTGCCTATTATTTATTATTATTATTATTATTACTATTGTTGTTATTTTTATTTGAAATGTAGATATTCCATAAATTTGTTTGATTAGTTTTTTTCAGAGATTTTTCCCCCTTTTTATTATTGTTATTATTATTATTATTAATATTAGCTCCATTTGTGCCTCTAAACCCGTGACCTTTTGTGCTTCCATATATATATATAAAATTCTTGAGTTAATGATGTTTGAGTGTGTAAATAGGCATACATAAAAACATTTAAACCACACAATATTAGTTTATGTTGGACGAAAGAATTTACAAATACTCCTACGAAAAAAAGTATTAGGAATAATACATGAAGACGTTTTGTGTAAAGTTTGTATTTAGAGATAAGTGTTCCCCAAGTTAGAAATGTCCTATGCTGGCGTCAACAAAAGGCATGAGACCTTTCGTAATATCTGCTCCCACTGCCAAAATCAAGCATACTTGGCTGCACAGCGCGAACAGCTGACCAATAGATGGGGGGAAAAAGAGTAACTTATTCACCAGCTGTTTTGTCATTGTAGCAAAAAAATCTCTGAATATGAATATGAACTGTGGATGTCTCTCAGAAGTGGAAAATATTTTGGAAAAGTAGTTTTGCCATTGTTAGAACAATAATATATAGTTTTTCACTTCTTGAGTGAACTGCCAATGTCAAGCACACTTCCTGAAAGCAACTAAGCCAGATGTTCTGTAGTTGGGCAGTCTTCCTTTGCAGCCATGTATTCAAAAGAGACAATTGTGGACTTTCCAGGGTCCGTGGACTGAACCACACTAGAGTTAAATGTAACTAAGGAACAGAACGTCTTATGGGAAGTGACTTTAGCTGGCATATTTTGATTGTAATGCTATGGGAACATGTACCTTTGTGGGCTTTGGAGCAGAGTTGACCCATTGTTCGGTCTTAGATGTGGCCATGCATGGCTGTGACTGTCTTGGCCAGCAAATGGAAAAGCCAGTCAGGAAGAAAGAGGTCAGTGCTAGAGATCTTGGTACCATCATGTAATAAAGCAAGCATGGATTAGAACTGATCTCACATACCCACACCAGGTTACATTACCTTCCCTTGGGTTTAACAGAGCACACGGCGTGAAGCAAGCAAAAAGGTTTTCAGTTGGATTGGAGAAACTCTGTGCGAACAAGACCATGTGAGAATGTAAAAGTAGAGAGGGAGGAGAACATTGCAGACGTATTTCGGAACGAATATCCCTCTGCCTCTCCCTGCTACACTGCTCATGCAAAGAAACAGGGTGGGCATGTATCTGTGAGAGTGGGGTTTTTTAAAAAAAGGCTAAAAAGTGCAAGTACGGGTCCGGTTACTTGCTCGTTAGCGGGACCAAGTTCTAGTTCCCCTCCAACAGGCCATTTCATGCTACGGAGGTGAAGCATAGAGAGGGGCCTTTCTCAAGACAAAGTCCCCAGTGTGTTTGTAAAACAGACCCCCCAGTAGTTAGCCACTAAGACTGCACTGGGCAGTGGTGTTCTTCCAGGCTTTATCTGGATCCACTTGACTGGATTTTCACAAGTCTTGTACCTAAAGGTTGAAAGAGGATCTATCAAAGAATGTTTTGGTTGTGGTAGACGTTGGGCTTGAAGATCAAATATGTGGTTGTTCTTGCAATATTTCAGCTCCTCTACTGTTTTATTAGTCTCTCTGACCTGTCTTTAGCTTAAACCAAATCAGACACCATAGTAGGTTGTATCTGGTTTTGCCTTCTAGGTAGACTTTCGCTGTCGGCTCATGTGTCCGGATAGATACCAGATAGACATGGAGCTGTTGGTATTGGAGTACAAGGATCTTTAGCCAGTTGGTCTTGTTTCCACAGGTGGCCCTCCTGAAATGGACAGAACGAGAAAGAGGAGGGAGTTGAAAAATCAAGGGCGAGATCAAGAAAAGGAGGAGATAAGAGTAGCATTTAGTTTTTGGCATGCGCAGCCTCCGCTCCGTATTTACTCTGGTTTCGACCATATGCCAAGCCTTGGAGCTGAAGCTAGCTTTGTGCATTCAGAGACACACTGCATACTTGAATTCCAACAATAGTAAACTTACATTTCCCCTCCCAGTAGAACATTCCAGACTTTAAACACTAGTGTTTTCTTTGAGGGCTTCAGGAACTGGATTCGCTGCACGGCTCAGCAAGAATCATTGAATACACGTGGAGAATATCCTGTGGAAGTGTTCTATTTAGGTTATGTGGCGGACAGATTGGCTGTACGGTCAAGGCAATGATTTGAACAGACCCCTTACCTTAGGTATTAAAGGGATACTTCACCTCTGGAAAGATGAATGTGTATTTAAAATGGGTCATTTATGTAGAAGAAATGTGAAGTTATTTTTGAATTTGGAGTTTTCTAGACTGACGAAAAGCCAGAAAATGTATTTTTGGCTCATATGGATGAAAGACAACAACTCCCAGAATGCACTTGCTTCGCTGCGCTAGGAGGCCACTCCTACCGGTAACAGAGCGCAGTAGTCCGCAGTAGACTCCGTTATGAGTCTGCCCGGGATTAGGCGTCTGACCCTAACCGCGACTGCAGAAAGCAAAAGCTGAATCCCGGACATCGACGGCCGGACATGTCTGGGAAAAAGAGGATGGTAACCCCTACTACTCAGCTTTCTCCACAGAACAAGAGCCTGCTAGCTTAGCTTCCAAAAAAAGATGTCCGACACTATGTGTTCATTCTGTGAGTGAGATCTCACCCTCTATGGGCGGGTCGAGGACATGCGGGACAGACCCGACTACTGACTGTAGTCTTTAGCCTCTGGACAAAAAATCCTCTGATGATGCAAAGTGACGATTTTTGCGTCATCTGAGGATTTTTTCCAGACAAAAAAAACCCATAAATCTCTGGTCTCAGGGGATATGAGGGTGGAAAGCATGGTAATTTGAAAATACTACAGGTTTTCTACTAATACAAAGCTTAATGCTAAATCCTGAAGTATCACTTTAACTGTTAATTACTCTCTTTGTGCAATGATAATGAATGATAAATGTACTATTACTCTACTAGGAGCTGGAACTACTATATTGAATCTACTTCTTTCTTTCACTCTCTTTCTTTTGCTCTATTTTTGTATTGGCAAGTGGTCAGGTCTGTTTACCTTTTTTGCTCTTGATTTCTTATCATTTCTTTCACTCAATCACCCTTTCTTTCTTTAGTTCTTTCTTTCTTTCGTTATGTCTATCGCCCTTTCTTTCGCCTGCTCTTTTCTTTCGCTGATTCTTTTTTTCGTTCACTTCTTTCGTTCGCCTGTTCTTTTTCTTTCGCTCTCTCTTTCTTTCCTTCACTCGCTTGCTCTCTTTTGCTCATTCTTTCTGTTTTTCATTCTCTTCGCTCCTTCATTTCTTTTGTTCTTTTTTTCGCTCTCTCTTTTACTTGCTCGTTCTTTCACTCTTATTTTCGCCTTATTTCTTTCTAATTCTTTCCCTTTTCTATATTTCTTTCTTTCACACCTTTCTATCTTTTACGCTGGTATCTTTTCTTGCTTTTTCTGTCTCTTTCTTTCGGTCTGTCTGTTCATGTCTATCTTCACGCAGTCTACTTGGTGGATGGATTGTTCCGGCTTGAGCTCAAACACAAATAATCTCACAGACGGAGGCTCTCACACACCATTCGGACAGCTGTCAATCAAATCCCTGACCTCAAAACACAACCCTCGCGCAAGGATTTATTAACTCAAACTATACAAATAGAGCAATGCTAATGTGATTAATCAGTGTATTATGCTAGTGAATTCAGGGCCTGTCAGGCAGATAAACTGGTAATTTTACGTTGCATTTGTTTTGATAAATTACTAAGATTAGAATTTTTTTTTCATCCTTATCTCTGCAGGGTGATTCCTGGGACTTGTTGAGTGGTAAAAACACAGAAGAGCTGTATGTGTGTGAATGTGTGTATATGGGCGTTTTCCTTGTACAAAGATGCAGGTTAACTGCTGTCTTTTAACTGTATGTTGAGTAATGCTTTACGCTCTCAATAGAGTTTAATATTCCAAACTTTTAATATGTTAAATATTATTCTTTAACTTCATAAAATAAAGTCAGGGCTTATCACAAACAGATAATTTGTTTATTTTTTTGATAACTTCCTTTTTCTTTGGAAACAAGGGGCATCTTCCAGACCTCAAATGCTCGTATATTTCTCTGTATGGACTAGATTGGAAAAATGTGAAGACATAATTACAGATTGCCACGTTTTGTGTCTGCAATAACACACCCTGTATGATCTCATTAGATGAAATAGATGGAGTATTCTTCATTTCTGAATTTTGGCCAAAACTATTGTTATTGTCAAGTTACCGTGGTTTTAGGAAATGTATTCAAGCAATTTTGGAGATGGCATGAAATTGGGAGTGGAAACACTTTCTCTCTTTACTTCTCTGTAAATCTTTCCATAACAATATCACAGCAATAAATGTTGAGTCTGTTTTTGTCTGATTTTGACTGAATTTTCTCTCTCTCTCTCTCTCTGCAGATATGAGGTCTACAGGTACAGCCCATTACTTCTCTTTCCTGTTGAACACATCAGACTATCGCATCTTGCGCATGGATGAGGATCACGACCGCATGTATGTTGGGAGCAAAGACTACATCCTTTCTCTGGACCTTCACGACATAAACCGAGAGCCACTCATAGTAAGAACCAGCACAAAATACTCCATTTATTTATTACAAATGAATGTCTTTTTATTTAATTTTTATTTGATTTTATTTTAATTATTATTATATTTTATTTATTAATTATCATTTTTACTGTTTTATTTTGTTAAATGTATTAATTTATTTATTTGCAAAACAACAACAATAATAATAACAATAATGTATTTATTTATTTAAATGCATTCTTGCATTTATTATCATAGATTTATTTGATTTAGTATAATGTATTTATTATAAATGTATTTTTTTACTGTATATGAAAAATGTATTAATTTATTATAAATGTATGTATTTTGTACTGTTTTAATTTGATTTAATTTAATTGTTTTTTGTTTATTTATTTATTATAATACATTTTTGTATTGTTTCCTTTTGTATTTAGTTTTTTACAGTTTACTACTGCTACTACTACTACTGCTAATAATAATAATAATTGATGAATGGATGGAGCGATTTATACATTTATTTATTATCATTTATTTATTTTAAATGTATTATTTTTATTTTTTTTATTATAAATGTATACATTTTTATACATTTATGTATTTTTTAATTATTCTATTTAATTCTTTTTGTTTAATTATGTATTATATTTATGTATTTACTTTTGTATTTAGCTTTTTACTGTTTTTTTATTATATATTCATTCATTTTTATTTATTTACATAATAATTAAAAGTATTATTAGTATTAATGTTATTATTATTATTATTAGTAGTAGTAGTAGTAGATAATTCATTATTAATACTTTTTTTACTGTTTGTTTTTCATTTTAAGGTTTGTATTTATTTTAATTATTATTTTTTTTTTTCACACTGTTCACCCTGTTTTGGCTTTAGTTCCTGGACAAGCACAAGCCATAACCTAAATCACAACAAGCTCCAAGGGTCATTCCTGTATCACTGTTACTTTTTACTGATTAGCTCACAGCAATGCAGGAAACTGACTATTAAATTCTATAAAACTAAAGCCTGGATATGGGGGACACCTGGGGCCTTATAAAAATGCAGGGTGAACATTCCCTGGCTAGTTCAGCTCATTATGTTGAAAGGTTGTTGAGTTAAATGGGATTGTTTCTGAGATAGTGTGTCGTTGTTGTGACAAATGGGGTTGACCCTTCTCTCTCTTTCATACTCTCTCTATCAGATACACTGGCCTGTTTCCCCGCAGAGGAAGACGGAGTGTATTTTAAGTGGCAAAGACACAAACGTGAGTGCCGTCTTTTTCAATTTCGTTGCTTCCGCGCTGCTCACATACTCTGATCTGAACGGGGTGAAAACGAAGAATAGTACTCTTGGAACCCATCAAATTACAGTACTGGAACTAAATAATGTCTAATATGTTTTTAAGACCTCCAAGAATTGTTACAGAAAGTGTTATGACAATATACACAACGAGTTTCTCAGTTTACAGTTGGTCTACATTTGCTCGCAAAATAGCTTTTGTTTAGACATAACTTAACTCCAGCCAGCTCTCACTTGTGAAACCCTATGGCTTTGCGTGTGAAATCTGCTTGTAGTTCGGGTTTTAGCTGTATATGTCATTACAAATGCACTGAATGTATAAATCATTTGGTCAGGGTCTACATCCCTCAAGCTCAACAAAAAAAGCTATATGCTGATATAAATGAAGTGAAAGTGAGATATTCAGGTTTAGAAATAGTGCTGAGGTCAAATGTATGTGTTACAAACCTCAACCTTCCTGGTTAAAAACATATGCACTCATAGATGTTCAGAGAAGGAAAACAGATGCTAGATCCAGCATGAAACGAACTCGAACCAGTCAAATTCCTGCATTTGCGGACATATGGAATTGGGTGTGTGGTTTAGTGGTCTGGTAAAGATACTGTGAGCTTCACCTGATCATCTGCACATCTGTAGGGAAGGGGGTGTTGGGTTGTGCACTGGAATGGTACTTAGTGTCAGGTATGATAGTGGACATTATGGGTTTTACCACAGCTCATCAATTATTCATAATGTTGAATACACTTGCTGTGAAATGAATCCACATGTAGCTCTCTAGAGGTACTGTTCTGATAGCTGATTTGACTCTTTTGAACTTAACATAGGGTTGCTGAAATCACTCACAGTACTAAGTTGAAAGACAAAGAAGTAGTTATAGTTATTCATTCCTGTGATTTCCTATTGAAACAGGAAGTTATACATTTTTAAACAGCCTAAATTCTTTGATTTACTTCAAAGCTAGACAAAACTAACTGATATTTAGTGACTAGAGTTAGTGAGAGTTAGTATTAGGCCTGAAAAATATTCTGTGTAAAAACACAACACAGTAAGATTTTTTTAAAGAAATTAATACCTGTATTTAGCAAAGATACATTAAACTGATCAAAAGTGACAGTAAAGACATTTAAAATGTTATTTCTATTTCAAATAAATGCTGTTCTTCTGAACTTTCTATTCATCAGAGAAATATTAAGCAGCACAACTGTTTCAACATAATTCAGAAATGTTTCTTGTGCAGCAAATTAACATATTATAATGATTTCTGAAGGATCATCATGTGACATTGCAAACTGGAGAAATGATGCTGAAAATTCAGCTTTGCATCACCAGACTAAATGAAATAATAAAATGTAAAACAACTGTTTTAATTGTTATAACATTTCACAATATTGCCGTTTTACTGTATTTTTGATCAAATAAATCTTACCACAAACTTTTGAAAGGCAGTGTCCGTTAGAACAAAATACATGGCGCATCTGCATCATATTAATTGTCATATTATAAGTATTCTATGGGTATTTTCTCGTAGGTCAAATTTAGCGAGAGTGGAGCAACAGTTTTAAAAAGTATTTGTTTGAAATCAGTTAAAATTCTGGCGTGTTTATAGCTAGCTACCCGAATACCTGATGCTATGCTCAAACATTAGCATTAGCATTCTATGTTTCTGGCATTGGTACAGTTCGCGTTTTTGGACCAAACTCCTCTGCCTACGGCAATCAAAAATTTGGGCTAAATTTCAAATGTTTATATCTTCTTAAAGTTTATTTAGCAGTAGCATGTAGCACATAGCACTAACATGAGCTAAAAGCCACAAAACTCACATTGGAAATTCACTGGCTTTTTAATGTCTGGCCTAATGGGTCTTCTGTTCAGTCTATCATAGGCATGTGTGAAAATAATTAAGGTGATTGTTTCCTCTCTCAGGGCGAGTGCGGTAATTTCATCCGTCTGATCGAGCCATGGAACAGGACGCACTTGTACGTGTGTGGGACGGGCGCCTACAACCCAATATGCACTTATGTCAACAGAGGACGCAAGCCAATGGTAAATAGCCTTTCTGAGAGTGGGGTAACAGGGCATGAGAGGGGTGTCTTAAACGTAGTGGGTACACCTGGATACCTGTGAGGCACAGGTGTTCTTCCTGTATTTGGAGATACGCCTTTTCTCCTCAAATCTATCCATTACCGACTCTTACAGTCCATCAACTGTGATTAGTCACTCACCGTCCCCCTGTGTGACCTCCTTCCTCCCGTAAAAACCCTCCAGGTGTTGGCTGGCGTTCACCCTCACAGCTGCCTTCCCCAGCGCACTATAACTCTCTCTCCTGTTTAGTCTTACTCTTTAATTGAGGAGCTTGAGTTTCTTCGCTCGAGCCAGGCATCACTCTGTGGACCCTCTTTGCCTTTTTAGGACCCTTGCTTGTACAGCTAGCAGTTTGTCTCTCTAAACACAACACTTGTTCTGTAATGACGGTCCAGGGACTTTTAAAGTATAGAATTAATAGAAGTCAGAAGTTGGAATACCGTTTATATACTTTTTATTCTTTAACACGCACACTTATAAAATCACACCTATGCTTATACTACATAGCGATGCATACAAGAAATAATTCAACTGAAAAAGAAAGTTATTTTTGCAACTTTACCTCAAACCTTCACAAAGTTTTATGTCTGAAAGATTTAAATGTCCGTGTCTACTGATAATTTATGATCAATTTTTGAACTTTAGATGGTTCTAGATAGTGAAATAGTTGATTCATTTCACAAACAAGAGTGAATAGATTTGATCCTTTCAAGGACCCCTTGCCTCTAAGACCAAGTCCTACAGTCTATATTTTAATGGGGAAATCCTTTAATCTCAAAAACTGCATGCCGAACTCTCAATTTAATAGCCTATTTCAAATCAGCAACAAAATCTGACATGAACTGTACCATAAATTGTATATTTTTATTGTTATTATTTATTTATTCGTTTATCGGAAAACGACTTACAATTGCTATATATGTCAGAGGTCACACACCTCTGGAGCAACTAGGGGTTAAGTGTCTTGCTCAGGGGCACATTGGTGTCTCAAAGTGGATTCGAACCCGGGTCTCTCACACCGAAGGCATGTGTCTTATCCACTGCGCCATTACCACCCCAATGTGTTCATATTTTAGTAGTAATATGAGTGCACCATCTTTGTATATCTAAAGTCTTTGATTTAACTCACTGACTCAATCATTCAATGACTCATTCCAGGGTTTTTTTAGGTTTAGAGATTCAGAGATTAACAGCTGTAGTCACTAGTTGTATGAAAAATACCTCCATGTTCTTCAGAAAGTGTCATGGGTTTGGAAATAATGACAGAATTATTCCTATAATTTCCCAGTTTTAATTCTGAAAGCAGGGTGTTATGCTATGGGAGCTCCCATTATTGCGTCTCAGCATGGTGCTGGAGGTCTATTTCCCATCATAAGGAATTGCCTCAACTTTTCCCAGGATTTTTTAAACTGGCACACATCCTTTTAATGCCCTCCGCGTGTGAATGTTGGTACAAGAGCTGAGAGGTGATGTGATACCTTAACACCCTGCTCTTTCTAGACAGGAAACCTGGGTCACAGACTGCGTCCACAAAGTCCTCCAGCCAGGCAAACATCTCCATGTCTGTGCCAATGAGCATGACACACATCATGTCTAACGCATACAGACGCACAAAGACATCCAGATGTGGCCGACTGCAGCAGGTCTTTGGCGTGCTAGTCCAGGCTTTGCATTCAGACTGTACCCAAGACAGTATGTTGAAAGAAACACATGTGGCCGCAGCAGACGTGCTGACTCACAATGTTGATTTTTGGGGTTTTTCCGAAAGCCAGCTGTGCAACCCATAATGGTCAAACCATTCGACAGCAGCACGCTACGATAACACCCTTGACTTGAACACATGACACCACAGTCCCAGACGGGTTTTGATTTACACTTCAAGATATAATAGTGCCTAATATCTTTCGCACACTTACTCTCTTCCTCACCTTAGTGAGCTGTGTGGACATGATGAAAAACAGCATACAGTAAACCAGGTGCTTCTTTACTGTGCGTTCACACCAAACGCGAATAGCGCGTCAAATTCGCGACCGCGTCTAGTTATAGACGAATCCGACGAGCGTTCTGTGTAGGCTGCCATCTTGTGGCGACGCCATTACTGAGCTGTTACACAGGCATATAGACATATGCACCGGTATGTAAACAAACCTCGGTGATAACGCCAACGCACCCTCGATGACAGCTACAGCCAGGCAGAATGACTTGTTGGTTTGATCTGTGACTGCAGTGGCCTCCAGTCACAGATGAAGGTACAAACGATCTTACAGATTAACGTTATTTATGAAAATAGCTTGGCAAGCTAGCTAGGCTAACGTTTGCTAACGAGGAAACTATAAAAAGATCTGTCCATTTGGCAACAATAAATAAATAAATGAATGAAATCAAATAAACAAATTCATGTTTTTCATTTGTGTCCATTATTTATCTCATTTTCACATTGAAACAGGCAAGGGTAAGGTAACGTTACAGCTAGAAAGTATACATAATATCGACCAATTAGTGTTTTTAAACCATGGAAAGAGGTCAATATAACAGCAGGAAAACAATTATGTCACATAACGTTACATTTAGCTCAGGAAAGCCATTTAATGACCATATAGCATGGTAATTGAATAGAAAAAACAGCAAGAGAGGAGATTTTGCTGATCACTATATCACATATTTATTATATTTTTTTTACTCAGGTCATTAAATAATTGTTATTATACGCGAATGTCCACGTCTTGTACTCGCCCAGGAAATCTGTAAACCGTACGGCACCAGACAGGGGCAGTTGACCAGGGGTATTCACAATGTTTTCTCTTCAAAATTTAAATTTTACTGCCACCATTGAAACAATTTATAACGGAAACTGTTTACCCACTCGACATTATACAAGGGGTAACGTTGTAACGTTAGTGACAGTCGTAAATCGCGGGCTGTTTATTCCAGTGGACGCAAGTTGCAACTAAAACAATAGGAGGCAATGGCGCAACGCTACCCAGCAACAGCTCAGTAATGGCGCCCCGCTTTACTTCCGGTAGTTTCACCGGATTCGTCTATACTCGTGAACACTTTGAGTCCATTCGCGCCTCAAGAGTCCATTCTCTCTCACGTCCAGACACAAACTTAGGCACATGTATGTTGTTGGTTGTCTTTACATTGTAATAATATTTCATATAATCTAGATGGAATAAATAACATTTAACACAAAATGAACATGTCTCGTATATTGAAATAAAGTTTTAACTGATAAAATCTTTGTTTTGTTGTGCATTAGAACCACACCAGGCATTTAGTTATATTACAAAATAATTTATTGAAGCATACTTCACCACGTCAGCAAGCAGCTAGGCACCTGATTGGTTAACGTGGCGTGAATTGACGGCAAAGTTCAAAGCGGTAGGCGCGAATTCGCGTCAAGCGCGTGAATGCACAAATAGCACTAACTAAATCATTCGCGCTTAACGCGGCTGATGCTCAATTCGCGTGAACGAGGTGTATTCGTGTCTACGCCTCATTCGCGACGCATGAATTTTTTATGCGCATAACGCGTAACGCATTGACTTAAAATTGAAATCACTCATGCCTGACGCACTATTCGTGTCCGGTGTGAACGCACAAGACTGTTTTGATGGTTTTATAGGGGTTTTAGACACTTTAGCTGACTGACCAGTCCAGACTGGGGAACCTGTTATACTGTTTACAGGAGATCGCTTCCCGAAGCTTAAAAATTCATTGTACGCATTATAATTTTCCATATATGTATATACATGGGGACCTTACTTGGTAAGTGGGAAAACATCATAGATCATGCAACTATGTTGTGTTTTAGACGGCCATGCATCTCCAGATGCCCCAGACCAGAGGAAGAACTAGTCGTGCAGCTGAACCTGAAATCGTGTTTGATGAGACAGGACTTCAGGTGGGACACGGATGTGGACGTCTGCTGCTGGCTCCCTGTTGTCTAAAGATGCATTAACCTGCATGCTCTTTGTTCCTCTGTGTTTTTCTTGTTCCGTCTCATCTGTCTGATGTCTGGAGTTTTGTTGTTGCTGTTGTTGTTGACTCTGTCATGTCTGTCTAACATGTTTTTGTTCTGTGGCGCACATCTTGTTTTTTGTGCATTGAGTCACTTTCTTTTACTTTTAGTATGTCTTAATGGCTAATTGCTGATCTTTGTTAAATTTCTATCCTTCTCTAGTGCCTTAGTTTGTTAAAATTTTCTCTCTTTTGTAGTTCTACCCGCAAAACTAACTTTTCAAGTTAATTTGTAAGATATTTCGCAACTCTCTAGTTTTTTCTCTGGACCTTGCTATTTCTTTATGATTAACTAACTTGCAATACATAACATTTAATGTTCTTACCATCAAAGTAAATGCTAAACACACACACACACTCACACACAGGCAGTTGATTTAGAGCAAACACAAAGAAACAGAGGAAATAATAGACCTTCAGAGCTAAACATTACTCAAATACTTCAGCCGTCCTACATTTCACATCACAAGAAAAAGCGTTTGACCCTCTTGTGACCTGTACATATACATACAGTACAACACATACATATTACTAATAATAATAACAACATAGTGAGGGTGGAGAGAAAAACAAAATTGGCATGAATTGATGGCAAACACATGTATGAAATTAGGCATTTAAAAACTTTTCTTAGAAATTGTTATTCAGGTAATTCTCGCAATTTTTTTTTCTTTTTGCTAAATATTTTTAGTTGATTATAATTTCCACTCTATCACCTCTGCTAAACAGAAGAATATAGGGAGTCTGTTGCAAATTTTACAAACCAACATTTCTAATTTAAGGCACTTAAATTTTTTAAGAAAATGTACGATTTTATTAATGGGTGAAAGGGAATCTGTTAATGCTGGACAGCTCGGAATATTTTGACAGCCTTTCCGCTCTCCTTTAAATGAATGTTGATAGATAAGATTAGAAATGTCTTACACTCCTCCATCTGCATCTTTGACAGTGAAGTAAAATAAATCTTTCGAAAACTAAGGATCTGGCTCATGGCGAGTCTTCGGGGCATGTCAGCACACGCTCGTGGCAATTCCTAAATCGCACATCCAAATACCTGTCAGTCAGTGTTTCTATATCATGCCCGAGGGATGCTGGGATGGGCCGGTGTCAGTGCAGGATTAGACAGGTGTTGCAGGCTAAGGACGAGTAGTGAAGTTTGGATAGTGAAACTTTATACCTGCTCATTATATTCAGAGATCCAACTCTGAGATTAATTCCTTTTGCATCATTGCTTCTCTCTTTTACTGTTGTGCATCATAGTCTTTTTTGTCACATGCCTAACCCTGTCTAAGTCCATGTCATGTTTTATAGGGATTTGAGGACTGAAGACTACAGTGTTTTTTTCTGAACTATTGATCGTAAGACAGAGAGATCTAATCTTTGCTTTCAATTTTCCTTTCAGGAATACGTGTTTCATTTGGAGCCTGGCAGAGAGGATTCTGGGAAGGGAAAGTGCCCATATGATCCAAAACTGAACAGCGTCTCTGCTTTGATTAGTAAGTCCCTTCGAAATGGGGGAAAATATATTTCCACTTCAGAGAGTTGGGTGTTGAACATGCAGTGTCCTGCTCCAAAAAACGGCATCTTTTGTTCTTGTGAACTCTCTCTTTAAAGGAGAACTCCAGTCAATTTTAACATTGAGCTCATTATTTTGTAAATTTGGAGTGCTGTCAGTACAGAGAACAACGACAGAAATCAGTGTTGCCTACACTGTGTTATCCTCTTTTTAAAATTCGCACCCTGTTGACTTTTTAGTTTTCAAGTTTTAAACCTGCTTTTAGCCTCTTAACATCCTTGATTTGTCATTTCAAGTGGCCAGCCATGTGAGTCGTGTTATTAAGAATGACCACGGTCAATCTGACTGCAGTAGATGTGAAAGATATTAATAAAAAGCTCACATACCTGTATTTTCTTCCTGTTTTCGGTCGAAGTCCACAGTAATCGATTGTCGAGTTGAGAGAATGGGATCTCATATAGCCTGGTCGCGCACTCGACAATCGACTGCTGTGGACTTTGACCGAAAACAGGAAGTAAATAGAGGTATGTGAGCTGGCTGAATTAACATCGTTTTTATTCATATCTTTCACATTTACTGCAGTCAGATTGACCGTGGTCACTCTTAATAACACCACTCGCATGGCTGTGCACTTGTAATGACAAATCAAGGATGTTAAGAAGCTAAAAGCAGGTTTAGAACTTGGCAACACTGATTTTTGTCGTTGTTCTCTGTACTTACAGCACTCCAAATTTATAAAATAATGAGCTCAATGTTAAAATTGACGGGAGTTCCCATTTAAATGACTAATCAGAGCAACTCGCTTCATTCAGAGAGCTTTTGCTCAACTAGAGCCTTAAAAAAGTGACTAGCTCGTAAACATTGTTCTTTTTTTTTTGCAACACAGCATTTTCTCAAAAGATGGTGAAAAAATGTAACTCAATGAAAATTAAATTCAAATGGAGAAACCATGGGATTATTAGTTATGTGTTTTATTGGAAACGTCCAAACCACGATTTGAGTAACTCTTAATGGAGAACTCAGATGGCAGTGAAAGCTGTTTATATTGAACCATGCGAATCACTGAAGTGCACGGTGTGTTTTAACAAGCCTTCTAACGATGCTTCTCACTGCGACTCTTCATGCACTACCAAACTCAACGGTTTATAGATCATTGGCAACGGGTCATTTCAGAATAGTGCTTGAGGGGACAAAAGCTTTTCACATTTATACATATTCCATATTCACAGAGAAGCAGGATCATGTTGAGGAAAAAACGACTTTGTTTTATTTGGCTCCTTGTAGTTAAATTAGGTATGAAACATAAAAATAGAGCCGCAATATTAAGTTGAATAAAACCAAAATCGGAATATGGTTTAGTGTAATTATAACATTGCAAATGCTGTTTTTTTTTTATTCAATAAATGTATGTTGTGCATGTTTACACATGAGCAGCTCAGGATTGGGTGTTTATAATAACAATATTAATATTAATAATATTTTTTTTACCAAATTGTGCACCCCATCAAATAAGCACTGAAAACCTGAAGCTTTTTTTTTAAATTGCATTTTAAATCTCAAACTAAGTTTTTAACAAAATTGCAATTTGTTTATCCCCCAATCGTGCCGCGTAGATGCTGCTAGCTAAATAATCTTGATTTTACTTGTCATTTCAAATAGGTGTTTGTTTTTTTATTTTATCTGGAAGTCTTTTTCTTTAAAGATGTGCATAGCTAGCAGCCTTAATATTATCCTGTTAGCAAAGCATTTGTGTCAGTGTATTTGAATAAAGTATCCCTTAATCAATTTTAGTTAGTTAGAGCGTGGCAATCCATATTATTTTCTGACAAAATAGTTTTGTATGTTAGGTTTTTTTTTCTCCTGACTAAACGATCTCCAAACTAGCGGGTCATCAGCCGAGACCAAACAACACCCCAATTTAGCAGGACTTACACAGCAGGTAATTCAGCAAAACCCTTGACTAGAAAAACAACTGACTAAACCATCTAATCAGCACAGCTTAGCAAAGACCACAACTAGCAAAAACACTTTATCACAGGCTCACACGAGGAACGACCTTAAAAGCCACAAACAAACATGACAAGGGAGCTTTTGCAAACAATTTGGCATGCCAGTCCTTGAAAGAACTCTTTAGTGCTTGCCTGCCTGCTTGTATTTAACCACCACTTCATATATTAGAGTTGTTTGGTTGAATTTACAAGACGTTCTGACAGGTTGGCACCTAGACTTCCCCTAAGAATCAACAGTTTTGATCCACCTTTGGAAAAACCGCCAACGGGCACAGCAAATAGACTGTTTCAACAAACCCATTCTACATCCAGCCCGTTTCCTCTACAAACTGAACATGTATCTCCCGCTGTAAAACAGAAGCAAGTGTGGGCAAAAACGGGCAGGCTCTGTGCTCTGGATACCTCAGAGAAGGAATTAATCTTGAGGGCCGTGACAGAGCTCCGCCTGGCTGTGGTTCTGCGGCCCCTCCTTAACAGCCATGGCCTCTGCCAACTACACACTGAGACACCTGCTCAAATGGCCTGACACTGGGTTCTGCACACCCACACCCACACACACACACTTGACCTCCACACTACTTAACAAGGAACAAATTCCTCCAGAGGCAATAATAACCCCTCACATGCATAATGGCCAGTGCATGTGAATCCCAGTAGGCATCAATCTTGTGTATAGTGTAAGTTGGCAGTTGCCATCAAGCCAAGCTTTATATCATTGAACGGTGTCATATTAATATGCACATATTTAAAGGTATTATTATTATGTATTTTATCTGAATATATATATATATATATATATATATTTTGACTGCAAGTTGAACAGTTGATCAGTTAAATGCTCTTTATCTGTGTCCTGATGGATCTCTGCACTGATGTTGAAAGAAAGGTGTTAGGCTTTGGGTGTGGCTGACATGTCATCATAGACGGCAGAAAAGCTCATAAATCAAATGCATCATTCTTTCACATTTGCAGATTCTTACATTTTTCTCTGTTTCTGTATCTCTTAGATGGAGAACTGTATGCAGGGGTGTATATTGACTTCATGGGAACAGACTCTGCTATTTTTCGAACTTTGGGGAAAAATGCAGTCATGCGTACCGACCAATACAACTCAAGATGGCTGAATGGTAAATATGTCAAATAAGTGGATATGAGTAGTTGTCTGTCTAGAGAAAGTGTTTGTTGATTTTCCTTCTTTTTTTTTTCAGGTCACTTAAATTGTCCCAATGATTCCATGTAGTTTCTCAGTTACTATGAAAAGGATTATATGTTTAATCGTGCAATTTGTAAAATGCCATTTTCTCTCCCTCTCTCTTTTTCTTAGACCCCTCATTTGTCCATGTGCACCTTATCCCTGACAGCAATGAGAAAAACGATGACAAACTCTACTTTTTCTTCCGTGAGAAGTCTTCCGAGATGGGCCAGAGCCCCAAGTCACAGTCACGCATCGGCCGAATCTGCCTGGTGAGCTTAAATCTCTGACCTAAAATAGCATTTGATGAATACAACCCAAAGTTTGAGACATTCCATACCATTCAGCGTTTCTGGAAGAGATTCCAGCTACAGCCGAGAGCGAGTGAGCTGTGGTTTGTGGATACTTGACTGTGGCATTTTTGTTTGCTTGCCGCTGACGTGCTGAAATCCACACATATTTGACCTCCCTGCTTACAATACGTCTCTCTATCCATGTGACCCCTGAAACCTGTGACCTTTTGACCCGTCAGGTCAGCCCTTCTGAGTATGACTGAGTTTCTTTACCAGAGCTTACTATGGAAAAGATTGCTAATTTACTAGCACCAAAGCGGTTTGTCCCGAGCGTGGAGCTTAACCACATTTTCTTAATGAAAATAGTGCCAGACCACCGCTGCAAATTGAGCAGGGCAATGAAAACAAACATCGAGCGGCGGGCTTGGGCCACAGGGGTAAACTCAGGGGTTTGTGGTGCATCTTCTTGGGCTTAATGTAAGCTTGTGGGTTTGTTCTTGTTTAGCTGTATTGGGAGGGTTCAAGAATGAAAAGTTCCCCACAAACATAGCTAAACTGGACAAAACACACATAAATGGGTCAATTAACTGGTTTAAAAAAATTGTTAAAGGGTTTGGATTTTTCTTGTTCTTCTATGGAAGCCAAAATATGTTTTGCAGAATGTCCAGCCTGCTATATGCAATACAATAAAAGTTTCAAAATGTCTTATATGGTGCTATATATAAGTCTTTGCAGCTTTATGATTTTTTTGTCAATTTTATAGTTTTTCTAGTAAGATATTTTTGAAAATACTCAACCAGGGTGCATTTATTTCATCAAAACTACAGTAAAACAGTAATATTGTGAATTATTGTTACAATTTAAAATAACTCTTTTCTATTCTAATATATGTCCAGTCTTCAGTGTCACATGATCCTCAAGAAATCAATCTAATATGATGAGTTGCTGCTCAAGAAACATTTATTTTTATTAACAACATTGAAAACGGTTGTGCTGCTTAATATTTTCATTAATTCTATGATATTTTAATTAGAAATCTTTCAGAACAATGTAAATGATCAATTTAAAGCTTGTGGGTTAATGAAAGTAGTAATTACATTTAAAAAATTGTATTGCCCCCCTAATTTTAAATGGTAGTCTATATACAAATTGTTTGTGTGCATCTTTACAAATGGATATGTGTATTTTAATATGCATCTGTTCATTGAGCTGTTTCATATGTGGAACCACATGGTGGTGACGTTACATGTGTGTTTGTGTGGGTGAGTTTTTGTGTTTATCCGCTTTCTGTTTTGTGTTTACGGGTGTGTTTATATGAGTGCGTGGTCTCTGTCGTGCGGCCCCCCAGGTCTTTGTTTATGAGTCGGGGTCATGTGGTGACCTAGCATGCAAACACACCCCTGCACTCAGGGCTTTATGGATCACACTCCGGACAACCAGCCTTTCTGCATCTCACATCTGAACCCATCTGGTCACCATCCACCCTCTCACAAAGATCTTTAGCTTTTATTAATGACTAGAGTCATGCGATTGAAGATGAAACATGCAGAATTAGCCTGAGGTATGATCATTCATATGATGTATATATGGTTTGTCTTGTATAACTCATTTAGCTGTATCTTTATATTTTGGATAGTTTCTTTCATTATTTACTCATCACATTCCAAACCTGTATGATGTTCTTTTTTCTGGGAAACACAAAAGGTGAATTTGAATGAACATGAATGAGGACTGGGAAATTCAAGATACAAAATTACAGTAAAGCACCTTAAAGTTGTCCATATTCTTTGTGCATTATATTCTGTATCTACTAAAGTCATACGAGAGTTGGAGGTATATTTTGGAGGTATATTTTAAGGGGCTAATTGAGAAAATTGCTATTTTTTATTAGTTTAAAAATAAAATAAAAATATCGGATTAATACCGGTATCGGCAAAAGCCAAAGCTGTGGCATCGGTATCGGTATCGGAAGTGAAAAAGTGGTATCGGGACATCCCTAATCTGCAGGGAGTGCAATTGATTCTGCAACATTTTTCATTCAGCTGATCACCAAGACTTCGACAAGACCCGTCATACAATCAAATATCTTTATCATTATGTTTTTAAGAAAAAAATTAAATGTTCTTAGAAAAATGTTTTAGAACTTAAAGGAGAACTCCGGCGAACAATGAACCTTTGGTCTAATAAAACATCGGTACCTAGTTAATCGTTCTCTGAGATTTGTTTTCATGATAATCGAATGTAAAGAGTTTTATCTCTAGAAACTGTTTAGCGTATAATGCTAGTAATGGGGGCATTGACTAAGTAAAAAGAAATCGCTACGTTAAACCACTAACAAGGCTCAAAATAGCCCCACACTAACGCAGTAACATAATGAGGCTCCATGCATACAAAACGAAGCATTGAGAACTTTGTAAGTGTACAGACCGTTTAATAAGAAAATACTTTATAAAGACAGCTCACTTCGCATATACAGACAGAAGCCATCTCAGAAAATAGTCTCGATAAGTCAAACCACGAACATCGTGCTGATATGAACTGTATCGAACTGTATGAACGGCGTTTGGGGATCGACTTATCGAGACTATTTTCTAAGATGGTTCCAATGTACAATGTACCAAAAAAAAGATATTCTGAAAAATTTTGGTAACCAGACAGTTGACGGAAGCCATTGACTTCCATGGTATTTTGTTCTACTATGGAAGTCAATGGCTCCTGTCAACTGTCTGGTCACCAACATTCTTCAAAATATCTTTTTTATGTGTGTGTGTGTGTTCAACAAAACAAAAACTCTTACAGGTTTGGAACAGCTGAGTAAATTATAGCACAATTTTAATTTTTGCATGAACTTTTCCTTTAAAATTCTTATGAGAATCTTACAGTTTATCTTAAGAAATGTATTAACTGAAGTCTGGAAGATTTTTGGTTAAACTTTTCCTGTTCACAGAACTTAACAACTAGTTTACAGACTACTTTAATTATGCTTTTATGGTGTTTTTGTGTCTTATTTGAAGCTTGAAAGCACCAATCCCCATTAACTATTGAAATTCTATGGAAAATTGTAAGTAAAAAAGTAAGTGAAACCAGTTTGGTATAACACAATGAATAAATAATGAACTATACCTCCCAAACAAATAGGTTGTGATTTAAAGTCAAATGATAAATCAGGATTCCTCAGCCACCTCTTCCTAAAATTTGGCCGGCCATCAGACCAGATGGGTGTGTTTTGTGAATCAGACGAGACACTATTTGCAATCTTGTCTTCTCACAGCTAACTTTTCCTGGCTGTTTGTTCCTCTCTCTCCCGCTGCGGAGGGGCTTGCCTTGCAATGAATTAAATACAGCTATTTCTCCTCTTTGATTTCGGCTCAAACCGCGCGTGTGTGTGTTTACAGAACGATGATGGCGGTCACTGCTGCTTGGTCAACAAGTGGAGCACCTTCCTGAAAGCCCGTCTCATCTGCTCAGTCCCAGGAGCAGATGGGATTGAAACGCATTTCGACGATCTCAGTAAGTCTCCATTTCCGTTTCATCTCCAACAGATAAAGTCGTCAGTGGAAAAGTCCCATCTCGGCTCTTAAAGTGGTTTGTGTTGGCTGCGGGCCAGTCAGGGATCTCTTTAGCAGTGTGTGAATGAGAAAGATCCTCTCCTGGTTAGTCAGGTTTCAGTGGCCCTGTCCAATGTCGCCCACACCCTACTACAAAACCACATGCAAACCCTCCGTCCACCCACAACATCCTGGATCCCCTAATGTGGGCCTCCAGGTCTGCATTTGCACCAGGTGACGTACCTCAGCCCCCCGCCATATGGCACCAGATCCTCCCATAGTCCATATGCCGTGATGGATAATGGCTTAGTTACAGAAACCCACCTTTCTTTCTCCGAACAAAAGGCTCTTTTGAGAAGGCTGAAGGTGTGGGAGATGTGCCATGAGCTGCGGAGGGAGTTCGGATGACGTCCAGAGAGAAGGGCATGCCCTGCGGACGGATCAGGTGGACCGACAGAAACGCAGGGTCTTATGAGGGTTTCGCTCTAGCACTTATAGCCATTTCCAGACTAATTGGCCTCAGTGATGTTGGGAAACAGTGGGTTATGATCACGCTGGAATTTATAGCTGTTGCTCGTATTAAAAGGGAGGTCTGGGCTCCCGAACACAGCCGCTCAACACTTATAAACACGTTTGGCTCTGGCACTTTTTGGATGTTTACACAGGCTCATGGAGAGGTTAAGTTTTAGATGTGTGTGTGTTGAAGGAGGGATGTGCTGGCATTTTTAATGAGGGCAGTAAAGCTGTAGTACATTGAGTTGTGACAGTCTACTAATGAACAGGATTAAGCTTTTATTAGAGTAGAGAGAGTACTGTTCCATGTTTATAATCACACGTATATTATATGGAAGATCGCTAATATATTCACAACGGCCCAAAAGTTTAGGGTTAAAACATTTGAATGTTTTTAAAAGAAGTCCCTCATTCTCATTAAGAATGTATCTTAGATATTGTTAATTTAAAATAGCTGTTTTCTATTTTAATATTAGATTTTATAATCATAATAAATAATTTATTCCAATGATGCAAAACGTAATATTTCTATGATACTTGTGATTTTTTTTTAGCATTCTTTAATTAGAAAATGAGCTCATTTTTTGTACATTTGGAGTGCCGTAACACAGACAAAAAACGACAAAATACGATTTAAAATTCGCATCCTGTTGACTTAAATTTGTTGACTTCAAGTTTTAAACCTGCTTTTAGCCTCTTAACATCCTCGAGTCATTACAAGTGCACAGCCATGCAGTAGATGTGAAAGATATGAATAACATTGATGTTAATTCCATAGATATGTATATAAAGGCTAGATGTGTTACGGCGGAGTTTCCATCGTCATCACCGGCGGCCATCTTGTCACAGACAAGCTGATGTAAGATGAGTGGTCAGCATGAACACAAATACTCTTATCTCGTTGAAATCTTGACGGATTTACAAACGGTTTGGTTTCTTACAAACGTTATTAACGTGGCTATAATTATCTGCATGATTATTTATTAATACACTTTTTATTCATAAGTATGCAGTGTCATAACTACATCTCAGACGTTTATAACAAAACAAACCGTTTGAAAATCAACGTGCGTTTTAAAGTCGTGCCGTTTCATGTCTTTAAATGAAAATTCCTGCATTTTCTATTCAGTGCTATAGAGAGTCATTGTGTAGATCTTTACATGGATATGGCTGCTCATGTGACTCTGGCTTTACTTTTAAGAGATTATGGGAGTTTGAACAGTTGGAAGAAGTTAAGGAATTGGCAAATTCGTCCCAGATGTCCAATTGTTTGTTAAAAAAAAAATGCTGTAAAGAGGTTTCATTTTAAAAGTATGTGTGTTCATCCCTGTTGAGGATCCTTAGATAAATGCCATTAACTGCATCTCTCCTGTTATGAAGGGGGAGGAAGTTTCGAGTTGTCACATGTACTAGCATGGACGAGAGAGTCTTGAAGGTGTTATTAGTTGAAAGCATAAAAATAAGGGACCTATTAACTTACATTTACAACACAAGCACCTCAGTGTGTCTGGAACATGTGCATTAACAGTTATACCACAACTGTCATTGCATTTTTCATTTATATGATCATGAGTTTTATAAGCCGTATCCATATACACAAGATGCTTCACCTGCACTATACATATACATAGGTTGGCAGGATGTGTGTGTGAGGCAATAGGAACCATATGCTTTGCTATCCTCTATCACTTACTTATTCCCCTACACACACAAACACACACGCACTCATAAGTGTTTATGTTAGCCGACTCAGTATGTTTCGTCATAGTGACTGTCTTTCACCTCATTTACTGTCCAGTTTACTGAAAAAATACTACAATAAGTATAACACTGGTGTGGCTAATAATCTTAACTGTCAGGTTCATGAGAAATATCTTGCTTGTGCCAACCTCTGCTTTGATAGACTTGATAGAATATATTATTTCTATCACAATCTTAGATGCTTTTGGTAGGTTACACCTAACACATCCAGTCTCAAACTGTTACAAGGTCTAAGAATGAGAAAATAACTTGTAATAGAGAATCCCAATCAAGTGCGATTGAAAGAAATTCTGAAAACAAGACACAAATCTGATGAGTGAAATGCAGTGAGAGTCACAGGAAGTTTCAGTAAATGCGTTTGATTTATGCACTGCAAATATTAGCAAAGTGTTCCTCCAGCTTTTTCACTGCACTGCCGTTCTATGTTTGTGTCTTTCAGGGGATGTGTACATACAGCCCACGCAGGACACTAAAAATCCAGTCATCTATGGGGTCTTCTCTGTGTCAGGGTGAGTTTGAATGTGTCAGCTCTTTCTCCATCCGTGAACTGTAGGAAACAGTGGTTGTCCACTGCATTCGCATTTGTTGTGTCCATGTTCACTTCTAAACATCACTTTATATATTATACTTATTACTTACTTGAACTTTATAGCAACAACTTTGTCATATTTCCCCCCAGCTCTGTATTCAAAGGCTCTGCGGTCTGCGTCTACTCCATGGCGGACATTCGGATGGTGTTCAATGGACCTTTTGCCCACAAAGAAGGTCCCAATTATCAGTGGGTGGCCTACACTGGAAAAATCCCCTACCCTCGTCCAGGAACAGTGAGTTTCACCATCTAATGAATCAGAAAACCAATAATAAGATGGATTATTGTCTCACCGGTTTAGTAATATTAATCTAGACCTGCTGTGGAAGGTTTAAACAGCAAGCTCAAAATGTGCAATGTGGATCTGAAAGCACAGATTATTAGTGGGTTTAGGTTTTAGACTTTATAGAGCATAACGTTAGCCTTTAGTGGTGACTGGATTAGGACAGTACATGGATCTGATTAGTTAAAATTGATCCTCATCATTTTTTTTCAGTGTCCTGGTGGGACTTTCACCCCCAACATGAAGTCCACTAAAGACTACCCTGACGAGGTCATCAACTTCATGCGGAACCATCCCACTATGTACAACACTGTGTATCCGGTGCACAAGCGCCCCCTGGTGGTCAGGACCAACGTGGACTATGAGTTCACCACCATCACTGTGGACCAGGTGACTGCTGCCGACGGCAACTACGAGGTGCTCTTCCTGGGTACAGGTGAGTTTGGAAACTACCCCGATTTTTACATATTTAAATGTAAATTTACCATGTTATACGCAATATAATATGCTTATTTAAATGTAAATAACTTAAAATAAGATGTATTGTATAGCAGAGCATAGTATATGCTCTAGTATTTAATTTTAAATATTTTTATTATTATTATTTTCAGTCTGTCTCTTCAATTTAGTTTTTTTTTTATTTAAAAAAATATAAATATTTATAAATATGAATGCCCTAACTGGTATCACTTAAAACGTTTAAAAGCATTATATTTCTCCACACTGGGTTATTGTAGTTTAACCAATTTTATATAGTGTTTATTTCTTTTTCTTTTTTTTAATGTTATTTTTTTTATTTATTTAAATGCTTATTTTTATATTTAAAAATAAAAGTAATGGTATCATTTAAACATGTTTATCGGTATTACATTTCTCCAAACAATCTTGTTATTGCTGTCTAATGGCATTTTCATGATTAATACAGACAGGATGTAAAGGTTTTTACTTTAATAATATACCATGTCTAAAAAAAAAAAAAAAATCTAATTTATTTCCGGACATTATTTTTGTTTTTGAGTCATGCAAATGTATTTTAGTTTTGTTTTTCTGTTATCCCAGTTATTTAATTTTTTAATTTTTTTTTTTTTTTTTCAATTTTAATTGCATTTTTGTTAACAATAAAACTGATAAAGTAGTGTGTAAGAGCTTTTTAGGTACAGTAACTATCACTAAACTTTTATCAAGACACTTTTCTGAAACTGCTGCAGGATAAACTAAAATCAAGTCAGTTTTATTCCTCCTCTAACTCTCCGTTTATAAGACGAGATGAAAAACGTCTGACTCTACAAAAAAAAGGGTTCGTGTTTCCATCTTTCTGTTCTTTATATAAAAACTGTGAATGCAGGTCCTTAAGGCTGGAGGATCACTGTAAGAGAATCCATCAACCTACGCTGATCTGCTAAACTCTTTCTCTCGTCTCCTTCTCTTTTAACATTAAAGAGTCAGAATGCCATCATTCTTCCTGTACACGAGGTTATCCCTTTATGTCTGCTTTTCTTGCTTTGTGAGTCTGAGAGGCTAATGGGTTTTTAAATCAACTCTGCGTGCCCCATTGCACCTGCAAGCACTCCGAGGAACGTCTCTAGCTTTCAGCCGCCGTCGCTCGCCTACATTCAAAGCTCAGGTTAGATGCATTACTCCGCTTGCAATAAATCTCCAGCGACGTGCACAGAGGAATGCAACGGGCACGCTTAAATCAAACAAGCGTTTCGGTAGGGCACAGCCGCTGCAAAACCTCCGCTTTCAAGTGGAGATGGAGCCTGACAGGGTACAGCCGAGCTGAAAGATGAGCATGCCGTGAAAAGCAGTGAAAACAAAAGACAAAAGAGGGATTTTAAAAGGAAGGGATGGGAGATGGAATATACGTGAAGGGTCTGCACGTTTGATGGGACGGAACGAAAGAGTAACTCAAGTGTCTCTGGAGTCGGTGGAAGATAATAATCGTGATTTTATCGGGGCACAAGATGCAAAGACAAAAAAGGAATAGACAGAAAGTTGTCAGAGGAATGTCATGACGCTTTGAATGTTTTTGGGTCAAAGACGGCCATGCTTTTTTTGTAACATGGAACTGCACTTGGAAAGATGTGTAATATGTGGTTGGCTCACTGAATGATCTGACTGTCTTTCTATTGGCCTACAGACAGAGGTACAGTGCAGAAGGTGATCGTTCTGCCAAGAGATGACCTGCAGACAGAGGAACTCGTGCTGGAGGAAGTGGAGGTCTTTAAGGTGAGCGCTGAACCCTGGGGCTTTCCTGTTCGCTGGTGAATTGTGATATATACACTTATTTATTTCCTGTGACGGCAAAGGTGAATGTTCTGCAGCTTATTATATTCTCATCATTGTTATCAACTTTAAACTTTAACAGTTGTGTTGCTTAATATTTCGGTGGAAATCGTGGTACTTTTTTTCAGGATTCTTTGATGAATATAAAGATAAAAAGAACAGCATTTATTCGAAATGAAAAAAATTCATAACTTTCTAAATGTCTTTACTGTCACTTTTGGTCCCTTTAATGCATCTTTGCTGAGTAAAAGTATTAATATCTTTAAAAAATATATATCGTACGCACACCAAACATTGTTGTGAGTCTACATTACACCTAATAAACAATCTACCAAAAAGTAAAGGTGAATGTACAATAAAGTTTTCATATCTGTCACTTTCAGGTCCCTACTCCCATCACAACTATGAAGATTTCTTCAAAACGGGTAAGTAACTATTCACTAAACCTGATATAAATGGTTCACAATCAATGATGTCTTATTAATACTGGATGAACAACCAAACCCATAAAGAAGAAAACAATAAACCGGTTTAATTTGGACATGCAGCTGCTATCTGTCTAACAATGATCCCTAAGCAGCTTTCATATGTGGATCACATTTCTACAGATGAATGGAGATAAAATGTTTAATTTAATTTTCTGTTTTATCATGATTAGGATTGCGGTATGACATCATTATAAGGCCATATATTAACCCCCTCAGACCTGAATTATGTTTCAAGTTTCTGAAAAATATAAAAGTACATTTTTCCAGCTCATGAGGTTTCTATAAATGAAAACAAATGAAAAAAAAAAGTATATAATTGCTTTCATTGTGATTTTTTTTTTGTCCATTGCAATGGACATCAGGTCAAAACAGGTGTACTTCCCAAAAATGTACCAACATGAAATGTGGTGCCACAGACTCAGGGGGCCCCCCTGAGTGCAGTAAAATAGTTTTTATCATGACAGGAACTTTAATTAAAATGTCCAAAAATTACACTACCCAAATCCAAATTCAATAGATTGCAGACGGGCTACGTGTGATCTAAATATCTCAGCTCTGGAAGGGTCTAGAGACTCCATTTTTGCACTCAGGTCTAAGTCTCATGGCCCTCTATCAGAATCCAGAGTTTCAAGAAGATCAGAGAAACTCAAAATTTCGACCCGCCAAAAAAAAACGACAGTATTACCCCTTTCGTTTTTTTGTTTTTTTTTTGGTGTGAAAAAATAAGTTTCTCCAATTTTCTTGAAACTCTGGATTCTGATAGAGGGCCATGAGACTTAGACCTGAGTGCAAAAAAGGAGGTTCTAGACCCTTCCTGAGCTGAGATATTGAGATCCCATGTAGCATTTATTTATGCCATTATAAAAATAGTGGGCTCGTGGACGGTGGAATTATGGGATGGTGCTTGGTGCCACAGACTCAGGTGCAGGTCCTGAGTGCAGTAAAATAGTTTTTATCATGACAGGAACTTTAATTAAAATGTCCAAAAATTACACTACCCAAATCCCAATTCAATAGATTGCAGACGGTCTACGTGGGATCTAAATATCTCAGCTCTGGAAGGGTCTAGAGACTCCATTTTTGCACTCAGGTCTAAGTCTCATGGCCCTCTATCAGAATCCAGAGTTTCAAGAATATCAGAGAAACTCAAAATTTCGACCAGAAAAAAAAAAACGACAGTGTTACCCCTTATGTTTTTTTTTTTTTTTGGGAGAAAAATTATATATCCCCAATCTTCTTGAAACTCTGGATTCTGATAGAGGGCCATGAGACTTAGACCTGAGTGCAACAATGGAGGCTCTAGACCCTTCCAGTGCTGAGATATCGAAACTGAAAATTTCGACCAGAAAAAAAAAACGACAGTGTTACCCCTTACGTTTTTTTTGGGGGGGGCGAAAAATTACGTATCATTTTACGTAATTACGTATATTACGAAAAAAAAAACGACAGTCTTACGTTTTTTTTTGGGGGCGAAAAATTACATATCCCCAATCTTCTTGAAACTCTGAATTCTGATAGAGGGCTATGAGACTTAGACCTGAGTGCAACAATGGAGGCTCTAGACCCTTCCAGTCCTGAGATATCGAAACTCTAAATTTCGACCAGAAAAAAAACGACAGTGTTACCCCTTCGTTTTTTTTTTTGGGCGAAAAATTAAGTTTCTCCAATCTTCTCAAAACTCTGGATTCTGATAGAGGGCCATGAGACTTAGACCTGAGTGCAAAAATGGAGGCTCTAGACCCTTCCAGAGCTGAGATATCGAAACTCAAAATTTCGACCCGAAAAAAAAAAACGACAGTGTTACCCCTTCGTTTTTTTTTTTTGGGCGAAAAATTAAGTTTCTCCAATCTTCTCAAAACTCTGGATTCTGATAGAGGGCCATGAGACTTTGACCTGAGTGCAAAAATGGAGGCTCTAGACCCTTCCAGAGCTGAGATATCGAAATTCAAAATTTCGACCCGAAAAAAAAACGACAGTGTTACCCCTTTCGTTTTTTTTCGTTTTTCGGGCGAAAAATTAAGTTTCTCCAATCTTCTCAAAACTCTGGATTATGATAGAGGGGGCCACGAGACTTTGACCTGAGTGCAAAAATGGAGGCTCTAGACCCTTCCAGAGCTGAGATATCGAAATTCAAAATTTCGACCCGAAACAAAAACGACAGTGTTACCCCTTTCGTTTTTTTCCGTTTTGGGTGAAAAATTAAGTTTCTCCAATCTTCTCAAAACTCTGGATTATGATAGAGGGCCACGAGACTTTGACCTGAGTGCAAAAATGGAGGCTCTAGACCCTTCCAGAGCTGAGATATCGAAATTCAAAATTTCGACCCAAAAAAAAAACGACAGTGTTACCCCTTTCGTTTTTTTTTCGTTTTTTGGGCGAAAAATTAAGTTTCTCCAATCTTCTCAAAACTCTGGATTATGATAGAGGGCTGTGAGACTTTGACCTGAGTGCAAAAATGGAGGCTCTAGACCCTTCCAGAGCTGAGATATCAAAATTCAAAATTTCGACCCGAAAAAAAAACGACAGTGTTACCCCTTTTGTTTTTTTTCATTTTTGGGCGAAAAATTAAGTTTCTCCAATCTTCTCAAAACTCTGGATTATGATAGAGGGCTGTGAGACTTTGACCTGAGTGCAAAAATGGAGGCTCTAGACCCTTCCAGAGCTGAGATATCAAAATTCAAAATTTCGACCCGAAAAAAAAACGACAGTGTTACCCCTTTGTTTTTTTTTTCGTTTTTGGCGAAAATTAAGTTTCTCCAATCTTCTCAAAACTCTGGATTATGATAGAGGGCTGTGAGACTTTGACCTGAGTGCAAAAATGGAGGCTCTAGACCCTTCCAGAGCTGAGATATCGAAATTCAAAATTTCGACCCGAAAAAAAAACGACAGTGTTACCCTTTCGTTTTTTTTTCGTTTTCGGGCAAAAAATTAAGTTTCTCCAATCTTCTCAAAACTCTGGATTATGATAGAGGGCTGTGAGACTTTGACCTGAGTGCAAAAATGGAGGCTCTAGACCCTTCCAGAGCTGAGATATCGAAATTCAAAATTTCGACCCGAAAAAAAAACGACAGTGTTACCCCTTTGTTTTTTTCGGTTTTGGGCGAAAAATTAAGTTTCTCCAATCTTCTCAAAACTCTGGATTATGATAGAGGGCTGTGAGACTTTGACCTGAGTGCAAAAATGGAGGCTCTAGACCCTTCCAGAGCTGAGATATCGAAATTCAAAATTTCGACCCGAAAAAAAAACGACAGTGTTACCCCTTTCGTTTTTTTTCGTTTTTTTGGGCGAAAAATTAAGTTTCTCCAATCTTCTCAAAACTCTGGATTATGATAGGGCTGTGAGACTTTGACCTGAGTGCAAAAATGGAGGCTCTAGACCCTTCCAGAGCTGAGATATCGAAATTCAAAATTTCGACCCGAAAAAAAAACGACAGTGTTACCCCTTTCGTTTTTTTTCTTTTTCGGCGAAAAATTAAGTTTCTCCAATCTTCTCAAAACTCTGGATTATGATAGAGGGCTGTGAGACTTTGACCTGAGTGCAAAAATGGAGGCTCTAGACCCTTCCAGAGCTGAGATATCGAAATTCAAAATTTCGACCCGAAAAAAAAACGACAGTGTTACCCCTTTTGTTTTTTTTCATTTTTGGGCGAAAAATTAAGTTTCTCCAATCTTCTCAAAACTCTGGATTATGATAGAGGGCTGTGAGACTTTGACCTGAGTGCAAAAATGGAGGCTCTAGACCCTTCCAGAGCTGAGATATCGAAATTCAAAATTTCGACCCGAAAAAAAAAACGACAGTGTTACCCCTTTTGTTTTTTTTCGTTTTTGGCGAAAAATTAAGTTTCTCCAATCTTCTCAAAACTCTGGATTATGATAGAGGGCTGTGAGACTTTGACCTGAGTGCAAAAATGGAGGCTCTAGACCCTTCCAGAGCTGAGATATCGAAATTCAAAATTTCGACCCGAAAAAAAAACGACAGTGTTACCCCTTTTGTTTTTTTTTCGTTTTGGGCGAAAAATTAAGTTTCTCCAATCTTCTCAAAACTCTGGATTATGATAGAGGGCTGTGAGACTTTGACCTGAGTGCAAAAATGGAGGCTCTAGACCCTTCCAGAGCTGAGATATCGAAATTCAAAATTTCGACCCGAAAAAAAAACGACAGTGTTACCCCTTTTGTTTTTTTTCGTTTTTGGCGAAAAATTAAGTTTCTCCAATCTTCTCAAAACTCTGGATTATGATAGAGGGCTGTGAGACTTTGACCTGAGTGCAAAAATGGAGGCTCTAGACCCTTCCAGAGCTGAGATATCGAATTTCAAAATTTCGACCCGAAAAAAAAACGACAGTGTTACCCCTTTTGTTTTTTTTCGTTTTTGGGCGAAAAATTAAGTTTCTCCAATCTTCTCAAAACTCTGGATTATGATAGAGGGCCATGAGACTTTGACCTGAGTGCAAAAATGGAGGCTCTAGACCCTTCCAGAGCTGAGATATCGAAATTCAAAATTTCGACCCGAAAAAAAAACGACAGTGTTACCCCTTTTGTTTTTTTTCATTTTTGGGCGAAAAATTAAGTTTCTCCAATCTTCTCAAAACTCTGGATTATGATAGAGGGCTGTGAGACTTTGACCTGAGTGCAAAAATGGAGGCTCTAGACCCTTCCAGAGCTGAGATATCGAAATTCAAAATTTCGACCCGAAAAAAAAAACGACAGTGTTACCCCTTTTGTTTTTTTTCATTTTTGGGCGAAAAATTAAGTTTCTCCAATCTTCTCAAAACTCTGGATTATGATAGAGGGCTGTGAGACTTTGACCTGAGTGCAAAAATGGAGGCTCTAGACCCTTCCAGAGCTGAGATATCGAAATTCAAAATTTCGACCCGAAAAAAAAACGACAGTGTTACCCCTTTCGTTTTTTTTCGTTTTGGGCGAAAAATTAAGTTTCTC